GAACAGCAGGATTTTTAATGTTTTTTTTTTAAAGAAGTCTCTTCTGCTCACCAAACCTGCATTTATTTGATCAGAAATACAGCAAAAGCAGTAATATTGTGAAATATTATTATAATGTAAAACAGCTGTTGTCTATGTGAATATCTGTTAAACTGTAATTTATTTCTGTGATGCGCAGCTGTATTTTCAGCATCATTACTCCAGTCTTCAGTGTCACATGATCTTCAGAAATCATTCTAATATGCTGATATACTGCAGTAATGATGCTGAAAATACAGCTGCGCATCACAGAAATACATTACAGTTCAACAGATATTCACATAGACAACAGCTGTTTTACATTATAATAATATTTCACAATATTACTGCTTTTGCTGTATTTCTGATCAAATAAATGCAGGTTTGGTGAGCAGAAGAGACTTCTTTAAAAAAAAAACATTAAAAATCCTGCTGTTCAAAAACGTTTGACTGGTACTTGTTTCAGAATGTTAAAAAGTAACGTTCCCATAATGTTTGCAATATTATAAATCTGAATGTTTCCTTAACGTTTGCCATTTAAAAAACTGGAAAAGAACTGAAATAACGTTTTCATAACTGGAATGTTAATAAATCTTAATAAATAAAGCTAAATCTTCCTTTTTAGTGTTTTAACTGTGTTACAGATTGGATTTTTCTCAATGCAAACATCACTTTGTTGTATTTTTTTCACATATCAAACGAAAGTTGTCATGTTTCGTGGTTGCATATGTTGTTAGAGTGATTTAATCACACTAGTCTCAAGTCTTGTGGTGAAACTTTCAAAAGCAGAGCGAGTGTTTGAACATTTATCCTGGTTTGAAGTCTAGCCCCATTGACGTTTATTGTAACTGCATCACTCTCAAGGCGATTTTTGAGTGAACGCGTCACAGATGCCGCCCATAAAGTCGCACTGTATTTAACCCAGAACAGTTTCTCTTTGTTTGCATCCTGTAGAGACACTTTCCACCGAACTATTGACAATAGGAGTCTTTGATCTACAATGCGGCCCCCCAAAATCCAGCGGGTCACGCTGCTAATGACCGCCGTATCCTTTGTGCTGATTGGCTGTGGAACCTGTCAATCAAACTCATCCAATGGCTTCCATCTCTCCGATGACCTGACAGCCGTCCATAGCTCAGGTCACGAATCTCTGATGATGCCCTCGGGGTCAAAGCACGTGACCCCTGACCCCAGAGCTGTCCGGCCGCTGTCGCTGCCCCCGGCGTGTCTGAGGAGGACCTACATCGAGGGCTTGTTCAAATACGTCAACACAGTTCTATCCAGCCTCATCTTTGTGGTGGGGATGGTGGGAAACGCCACGCTGCTGAGGATCATCTACCTCAACAAGACCATGAGGAACGGCCCGAACGCTCTGATCGCCAGCCTGGCGCTGGGAGACCTCATCTACATCGCCATCGACATCCCCATCAATGTCTATAAGGTAACGAACACAGGAACCAATCAGAACACTAGATCACGTGTGTGTGTGTTTATTAGTGATCATTTAGGCACAAAACTGTGTCACGAACTTGCTTTTAGTGTCAAAAAATTATGAAAAAATCATGTAAGTAATGGGAGGTTTGGGTTTGGATTAGTCTGTAGTTAATATAACTGGCTTAATGATTTAGATATCTAAGTCAGTGTTATTTGATGTTAGTGTCAATGTTATATTAAACTACTATTTTTGGTAACACTTTACTATAAGGTTCCATTAGTTGATGCTATTATGTAACATGAATGAACAATGAACAGTACATTTATTACAGTATTTATTAATCTAGTCTAATACAGTCGTTCATTGTTAGTTCATGTTAGTTGACAGTGCATTAACTAATATAGCACAACTTTTGATTTTAATAATGCATTAGTAAATGTTGAAATTAGCATTAACTAAGATGAATAAATGCTGTGTTCATTCTTAGTTCATGTTAACTAAAGTAGTTAACTAATGAACCTTATTGTAAAGTGTTACCCTATTTTTATATATTAATATAGTTTTAATTTAATTTAAAAAATTGTCTTTTAATTATATAAATTGTAATTTTAGTTTAAGTTTTAGTAATTTTGCAGTGTCTTATAAATAAAATTTTATGTATTTACAATTAAAATTGTTTATTTTATTTCTATTTAGCTTTATTTTTTATTCCAGTTTTAGTTTTAGTAATTTTACTACTTCAACTTAAACTCATCTTAGTTCAGTTTTTTTATATTTTATATACATTTATATACACCGGTGCTGAGGTGAAGTTGGAGCGCGCGTCTGAAAAGTCTCCCGCTTGATGTGTCGTAAAGACATTCTGCATCTAAATAAACACAATTCTTGTCAAGAAAATAGAGACAGAAGCAGCGGTTGTGAGTGGGGGGTGAATTGCATTAAATATTTTTAATGCGTTAAACTGAAAAAATGAATTTTGACAGCACTAATACTAATTTTGACACCACTAATATATACACTGAACAAAATTATAAACGCAACACTTTTGTTTTTGTCCCCATTTTTCATGAGCTGAACTCAAAGATCTAAGACTTTTTCTATGTACACAAAAGGCCTATTTCTC